TAGCTTCATGGAGTTTTTTTATTGGATATCCTTGCTGATACATCCAGGGACAATAAATATTTGTTCCTTCTTCGTTATACTTTCCAATGATCGACGATTCACTCGATATGGAGAGAAAGAAATGGTAAAAAGCATATGGAGAAGCTCAACACTGCCTCGTAAATTGTTTAATACATTGATAAGAATGTATGGAACAAGATCTCAATTCTCCAAAAAAAATGAATTGCATCAAATATCAAGGCTACATTGAGGCCTGGTTTGTGGCAATAAATTTAGGATAACAGCTGATTCCTATTTATTTTAATACAAAGTCACATCTATTGTAACACTGTTTTTTGACTGAAATAGTTTTTACATTCCTTCAAAAAAAATCAAAAATTTATCCAAATACAAAAGTAACCAATAATTTACATATGGTCTTTGTTAATTTGTAGTTACAATAATAACCTAAACATGATAAGAAGTATGCTATGAATAGACTTTGTAAGTACGATGATATAAGGTTATGGTGGAGGCTTGGTTTGCTTAAGCTGTCGAGTATTGGACCTTTCCCTCTGGGTTAGGAATCTTACATTTTCTTAAAATTTAAAATAAATTTTGAAGATTTTATTGTTCATTTATTTGTATTTATCAGTTTTAGATATCATAAATGAATCTTTAACTTTATTGTATAAATGACAAGGTTAAAAATGTTCATCTTTATTTATGTGTCTTGCTAATGAGAGCAAACTTCTTCCGAGAAATAAATTTCGAGAAGTCTGCTCTAAAAATATGTTTGAATATGATGTTTTATGTTTGTTAATATGTTTAGATGTTATTTTTTTGTAGATTGGTTTAATTACAAAAGTTTATTATATAAATCTGATGAATAAATATTTTATTAAAACTTGAAATATCAGTAGTTTAAATTTACGTATTTTTTTTGAGAATATAACACTCAAGGTCACTTTCTCTCTTTCTGTTACATTGTAGATCACTTCTTTCTACTGAGGTACTTTTTTTGGTCAATTACACTCTTAGCCTTTAGTCTATTTCTCTTTTTTCTTTTACAAATTCTGTTAATTTCTTCCTCAAACCTTCACGCGACTAAGCTTCTCCATGGCGTCAAGACTCCTCTCTTACACTGTGCTCTGTCGTTGCTGCTGCAAGCCTCACTATCGTGTCTGGTTCGAGCTCGCGCTCCTCTGTCGTGACAAGACCACAACCACACTCCTCTTCTTCGTGGTTCAAATCTGAGATTGATTCGGAGCCATCCACCACGAGGTTTCTCGTCCAGAATATCTCAGCTCTCCACCGTGCTCAGTTCTTCGTTATCAGAGTCTGCTCGCCGTCGTCATCCAGATCGCGTTGGAAGAGAAAGCTCGATCTCCTCCAATGGAGATTTTTAGAGTATTTGCATAACAGGTCCCTTGAGTTTTGATTTTCACTTCTGCCCTGACCTTTCTAAATTGCAGAAATGAACTCTTGATTTTGACCAGAACTTTTGATTGTGCAATTTAGGCCAGCGAATATTGTGGATTTGCAGTATTGATCCCTAAAAACATGTACAACTGTTGTTATGTTTTTCGATTAAGTGTACACATGTACAACGTGTATATAGTTATCCACATGTACAACATATAACTAATATTCAAGACCATGTGACCCTAAATCTGCTTTGAGTAATGGTGGTTAATGTAACATGAGCAAGATAAGTCAAATTAGTCACTGCCTCTTTCTAAAACCCATTGACAAAGAGAGAATTCATACAATTTTAAGCAACAAGAAACTTAACACATAAACACTATATAGACCCATTGACAAGTATTCAATTTGTTTTGTCACTTGTGTACGTGATTATCCATGTATATACCTAGCTCTCGTATCTACATGTTACATGGTGGACTGCACAAATGACCAGTGTACATAAGTCTCGCTGTCCATATGTACATGCTATGTCTCGTATCCACATGTACATGCCGCAAATGACCAGTGTACATAAGTCTAGCTCTCCATGTTTGGCCACCGCTGCTGCACATGAAAGGCGGTGGTTGCTATGGTGGAGATGAAGCTTAGGTGGTGGTAGTTACGTCATAAAATGAATTGGTTTCGGTGTTGCATTTTGTTGCGGCCATTGTTCCTGTTGTTATCCACCATAAGGTCTTTTCATTGAAAATATCAGAAATGAAGAATCTTAAATCTCATAACTATAGTTTTGAGATTTAATAGAAGGTAAGTTCCATATTTCAGCTGAAAAAGTTGATAAGAACTTTCTATCAGCAAAACCAACTTCCCTCCCAAAATAATGATCCTTGGAGGTAGAAGTCCATTATTCTCTTCATATTCGTTCATTGCCATGATTAAAATATGTACTTTCTAACACCATTAGGATTTCATATTTTGATGTACATCGGTATCATAAAAACATGTACAAGTACGTGTACATGTATACAATACAACTTAAGTGTAGGCGTGTACATTTGGAATGTAATGTACACATGGATAGCATATGAGATAAAACGATTTTTTAAAAAAACCTGCAAATGTTATGTTGCAAATGTACAAATCATTGATATATAGATAACATCTCAAAGCAAAAACAAAGATAGAAAACATGTAAAACACAAGATCGTCTCATTCTAATCCATCAAAATATATATTCTTGAGTTTGCTTGATGCCAACTCATACACCTTCTCTAATTCATATCTTGACACTCAAGGTTCAAGGTTTAGCATAATCATCAACACTATCTTTCTTCAATCCTCATACACTTTTTCTATATTCATAAAAAAATTGCAGTCGTGCCATTCTCAAAAGAAATGGAGAGCTGATTCTCATCATGACCTGAGACAGACCTTGATTTCTCATTGGGACTACAGTCCCTAAGGTGGAGCAAACACCATCCTGTAGAGGCACTAGACAACCAATGAGTACAAAGAGAAGAAAATAAAAACAAAGATGAACACTTACATCGGTGGTTTTCAACAAAAAAATCATGGCCAATGACTTTGTAAATTCCTAAAGAACTAACCCATCAACCATAAACTAAGATTAACCATTCAAAGAGAAAAAAAAATCAACAAATATCATGTATTATACTTGCAATTGAGCTCATGGCCAGATGAATCACCAGCTGACGTTTGAGACTGTTAGAATTATAGAGTCATGAGACTTACTATCTCCAAATTGAAGCATCAGTGCATAAACATTCCAAAAAGATTGGAATTTTATAACAAATTAATATCATTTTCATGAAAAAATTGTGATTCTATAACGAGCTAATATCTCTCAGACCAGGAGGAGATGGTGAAAAAGCATAGTAAGCATCTAATTTGTTTCTTCTTATAAAGAAGAGAAACCAGAGTCATTATCACAAGCAAAACGACTCCAACGATAGCGTTACCAACTACCATTCATGTTGATAACCCATATGATGAAGGAGACGGTGAAGATGGAGTTCAAAGAGATCCTCCTCCGCTGTTGCTTAAGGGATTCGACGGAAGTTCTGAGATTCAAAATGGAGGATTTTGAATAGGGGATTCAGGAGAAGTAGTAAATGCGAGAGGAGATAGTTCTGGAATAAGAGGAGTAGAAGATGGAGGAATAGATGTGGGATAGTGGTTGGTGGCGGCGGAGGAGAAGAACTGTCGTGGGAGAAAAAACCTAAAAAACAAAAATTTAATTACTTAAAGGAAGAAGGATAAAATTAGAATTTCACAATTTTTTTTTTTTTTGGTAACAAAGGAAATGTAGATAAAGTGTCTCAGTAGTAATATGTGATCTATTGTGAAATTACAAAGATGAAAAGTGACTTAAAATGTAATTTTCTCTTCTTTTTTTAAGCTTATGTGATATTAGTTGAAAACATCTGATTGGTGAAATAGAACAGTTTTTTTTTTTAAATAACCTTTTGACCCTGTTTGTAATAGCAAGAAGATTGGTCAGCTTTGGCACCAAAGTTGGATGAGATAAAAGTTCTTTCTACTGATATTTTTAGAATACTCAATAGAGTATATACAGTGGCGGAGCTAGGATTGGGCTTCACATGAGTCATTATTATTTTGGATAGGTTAAAAGGATACTAATGAGTCTTGAACTCATGACATGTGGGTCAAAAAGAGAGATATTAACCACTTCACTACAATAATAACTTTGCAAATAAGCTTAAAAGCTAAATTCTATAGATTTCATATGGGTCACTTGACACCCCTCACTCTAACGTGGCTCCGCCACTGCTTATATACTGAGATCTTCAAATGTTTGTGCTAACTACCTCGCTAAGGGTTGATCACGTGTAACCAACTCTGTCTATGTAAACTGTTTAGCTAGCTCAAACCATCAGCATTGGAGGTTCAAGAGGGGATCGTCGCACGTTTTACGAAAAAAAAAAATTATAATAAGGAAAAGTGAAGACTTCGGCTCGTCCCGCCTCTCCCGCATGAACCTGGGTCTTGACTGTTCAGCGGGCCCCACGCCACGTGGCGGCCCGCTATTGGTCAATTCACTTAATTTTTTTTTTTTAAAGCAAACGAAAAAAAATAAAAAAAAAAGAAGAAAATCCACGTGGTGAACTTTACCCCAAGTTTACTAATGCTGATGTTCTCATAATGCTGGCCATGAGGCTGATCATTAGTAATAATGGATATTTTCGATGTCAAAAAAATGTAATGGCATAATAAATCACACCTTAAAACTGCGCATTTGAAATCCGCAGTTAATTATATGATGTTTCCATTCAATACCCTAATTTCTTTTCATTACCTAACAAAACCCATCGAACATGTATGTAAGTAGCCGTTGGAATTGGAAACCACAATATAAAAACTTTTTTAAAAAGCATTCTGATTTGAAAAAGGGAATAATAAAGGAGTCAGAGAGAATAGGACATCGACTGCAGTGCTTCCAACGGCTCCATTTCCTCTTCTCTACGTTGGAAATTTTCAAAATTGCTCTTCTCACTGTTCCATTTTTTTTAATCGATCAAATAAATTAATTCTAGTTTTGAATCTAAATCACTCTGCTTCAGACTCATTTTCACTCTTCTTGCCCAATTATCTTTTAGCAAAATGGGTTGTTGTCTCAGCAAGAAACCTTCTTCCATCCCTCTCTCCAGTGGCCTTAAACCTCCAGATCCAGTCAAACCCGATGTTAATAAACCGGAGATTGAGCTGCCAGTTGTTAAACGGGAGATTGAGCTTGGGGAGAATCCAGAAGTCAAACCAATTAGATCCGAGAAGGTAGAAAAAGAAGACGAAGAGATAGAACATAGGAGAAGCCACGAGAGATCGAAGAAGATAGAGACAGAATCAGAGGAAGCGGTGGAGAAATCAGTGGTGGTGAGGACGTCGAGCTGCACGAAAGAAGAGGTTGATGCGATACTGATACAATGCGGGAAGCTAAGTCGGAGCAACTCCGCAGCCAAAACAAGAAGATACTCTGGTTCAAAGAGAAGCTTCGATTTTGACCAGAACGAAAGAACCCGCGGCGGCGGAGATGTAGAAGAGGAAGAGGCGGGGAGGAAAACGCCTCAGAGGAATCGTCAACGTGGTGTAGAGAGTTCGCCTCGTGAAAGAAGAAGACGAACTCCGAGCAGAGAAAGAGAAAGAGAAAGAGAGGATTCTAAGAGTTATCGCTCAGGGAGCAGGGAAAGAGGAGGAAGCAGACGTGTGAGCAGATCTCCCGGAAAACGTTCCGAGATGACAAACCCTAACACTAGTGGCAGTTTAGTAAGTTCGAGCAATATTAAGTTTGTTACAGTTCCGGCCAGGGACAAGAGCAACGGAGACCCGTCGAGTAAACGAGTTACTACCGTTAAGAGAAGCATAGGAGAAGCTTGTAGAACCGCTGCGACCAGTAATGTTCAACCTCCTTCTTCACGGAGGGTGGCAGAGCAATCACCGCACAGGAGAAAACCACTGGGGGAAATCGATCAAAACGCCACAAAAGGAGACAAGAAGAAGCTGATAAAGAGAGGAGAAAACGAAGCTGCGAAACCACAAGGGATAAGCAGAAGCAGATCGTTGAGGAAATCACGAGACTTTGATTTGTTGCAATCAAGCGAAGAAGACAAGAGCAGTTACACGGCGCTGTTGTTGAAAGACATTAAGAATTTCCATGGGAAGAGTAATGATAATGATAATGATGAGGAGGATCCGTTTAGTCTTCTTCCTTCTTGTGTTACAAAAGCTTGCTCCATTGTTGAAGCAGTGGCGGATCTTAACTCCACCTCTGATTCGAACCAGTTTAGATTCACATCTACGGTGAAGAAAGCGGAGGATTTGATGGAACCGAGCTTTGAAAAGTATGTGACTGTCAAGAGAGGAGGTTGTTCCTTGGAGGAGCAAGAATCATCATGTGCTAGTAACAATCTTACGTAACCCCCCAGGGTTCGATTTCTCAGTCAACAACTCTCTGTGTTGTTGCAGTTTCAATTTTAGTGAAGTCTTTGTTTATTGTATTCTCCAATCTTATCTATTCACTTGTTCACTTCAATCGAATTCTTCTCTTCAACATTATGTTACTTTTGTTGAGATGCTAACATAGACTACATGCTCAGGCTGCTTTTGTAAGTTTCAATACTCAGTTTTTGAATGTGAGAGCAAAGGCGGCTGCAGGACACTGCAGAGCTCATTATCCTTCGACACAGTCAACTTGAGTGGTGGTCTAGAAGAATTGTGGTTTCTTTTTTTTTTTTTTTTTTTTGAAAAGGCGTTCAAGAATTGTGGTTTCTGCTTGAAAGTTCGGACCTATTTAACCTGTATCTTTTTGAAAATGGCGATTTGTCATTTTTTTGGAATGAATGATAGATTTTTTCAAGACGAAAAACACTTTTGTACAATAGATGTGCCGTTGTTTAAAGGAAAACTTTGAATTGTTTGGACTACTATAAAATTTGGATATTAAAAAGTTAACGAAATTTTTGTTGTCTGCTTAAATATGGTATTACAAACTATCAGAAACAATATGTAGACAATATTATAGTCGATAATTATACCTATCTTATGAAGATTCATTTATGTGAGCCGCATTATAAGATCCATTAACAATTTTTCGTATGATTCACTTTCTCTAAGAATTTAAACCCAAAAATTGCGTTGTATGAGATTTGCATTCCAGACCTAGATGTAAAAAGCTTTAAATCTTGACTTGACTACTAGTCACGGTGCTTATATAAGGAGATATTCAGTTGAGATATCTTTATGAAAATTTCCCTAAAATATAACATAATAAGTAATTAGGTTGATACCCGCGCATTTGCACGGGATAAGAATTATATATATAAATTATTTTATGTTTTATTCTTTATTTTGTGTTCTTTTATATATTATCAGAAAAATAAATAAATAAATATATATATATATATATTGAATAATTGAAACATTTGTAACTATTATATATACAATTCACTACAAGAAAACTAAGCCATTACTAGGAAAATTTACTAGGAAAACATTTCCTCGTAAAAATACTACTAGTTTACTTCGACTTTACGAGGAAACATCTTTTCCTCGTAAGGTTCTCGTAAACTTACGAGAAAAGCGTTTCCTCGTAAAGTGGAAGTAAATTTACGAGGCTCTTACGAGGAAAATAATATTTTCCT